TATCCATTACCTCACTTACTGCAAGATAGGTCAACTGTCAACAAATACCCTCAATTTTGTTTTTCTGAGAAAATATTTCCTTTCCCTTTTAAGGATAATTTCTCAGAGTACAGAATTCTAGGTTGGTGGTTTTTTCTCTCAACTCTTTAAATATTTCACTCCACTGCCTTTTTACTTGTATGGTTTCTGAGGAAGCATCAGATGTCATTCTTATTTTTGTTCCTTTATAAGTAAAGTGATTTTTCCCTCCCTCTGGTTTCTTTTAGAATATTTGCTTTATCTTTGATTTTCTGTAGTTTGAAAATGATATGCTTAGGTGTAGGGTATTTTTGTCCTTTATCCTGCTTGGTGTTCTCTGAGCTTTCTGGATATGTGGTTTGGTATCTGGCATTAATTTAGGGAAATTCTCACTCATTATTGTTACAAATATTTCTTCTTTTCCTTTCTCTCTTCTTCTGATAGTCCCATTATGCATTGTGTTACACTTTTTATAGTTGTCCTCTAGTTCTTTGGCACTTTGTTTTCTTCCTTCTTTGTTCTCTTTGCTTTCAGTTTTGGAAGTTTCCATTGACATATCCTCAAGTTCAGAGTATCTTTCCTGTGTTGTGTCCAGTCTGCTAATGAGCCCATCAGAGGCATTCTTCGTGAGTTACAGAGTTTTTGATTTCTAGCATTTTTTTGTTCTTTCTTAGAAGATCTGTCTCTCTGCTTACATTGCCCGTCTGTCGGCTCTTGCATGCATGTCTACTTTATCCATTAGAGCCCTTAGCATTACTAATCATAGTTGCTTTAAATTTCTGGTCTGATAATTCTAACATCTCTGCCATGTCTGGTTCTGATGCTTGCTCTTTCTCTTCAAATTATGTTTTTTGTCTTTCAGTACACCTTATAATTTTTTCTTGATTGCTGGACATGATGTACCAAGTAAAAACAACCTACTATAAATAGGCCTTAGTACTGTGGTGGTAAGGTGTGGGGAGAGAGGAAGCATTCCCTAAATCTGTGCTTCAGTCTCAATCTTTTAGTAATCCTCTGCCTTTGGACTGAACTTCACAAGTGTTTTTCAGTTTTCTCCTCCCCTTTAGGTTGGACAGGATGGCTGGAAGAAACGGCGCTTGAATATTCCCCTCCCCCAGGTTAGTTAGGCTCTGATAGAACCCTTGTAGGTTAGGCTCTGGTTAATTAGTTATCCTAAGGGCAGAGCTTGTTAAGAACAACAAAGGGTTCTGAAGCCTATTTCAAAAGGGCTCCTTTTCCCTTCCCTCTGCTGGATGCCCATGGGGATTTTTCTCCAATATTTGCTCTGAGAACCTGATTAAGCTCCTGGAGGTAAAACTCACAAAAGCATTGGGACCCACCTATGGCTGGGGGCCCCCGAGTTTTCCACGCTTAGCCGGCAGCAATTCACCAATTACAGTTCAGGTTTTCCTGCCCTGGCACTGGTTACTGCAGAGGTTTCTGCTTGGGAGTTTATGCTTTGGTGTGTTGTGATTCTCTGTATCCGCCTGTCTCCAGTTTTGGGGGCAGAAGTTTATCCTGTGACCTTCAGATCTCAGAAGAATTGTTGGTTTGTCATCTTGTTCATCTTTCACTTGTCAGGATGTAGTAACGACTTCTGAGCTCTTTCCATGAGAAACTGGAAGCTAGAAGTCATAACTACCTTCTTTATTCAAGATTGTTTTAAGTTATTTTATGGTGGAGAAAGCTAGTTTTCCACATCCCGGTTCTTTCTAATCTTTGCTAATCTTTGTCATATATGAAAAGTAGTTATCTGCTTTTAAATGACGTTTCTTTGTCATCTTTTTCTATTGGAGTATTAATGTTTTAACTATTGATTTTATAAACTTTCTGTGTTGTGGAAATATGTTGATCTTTCTGTGTTTTAGGCTTTGATGTTTCTATTAGTTTCCTAGGGTTGCCAGACAAATTATCAAAATCATACTGGCCAAAACAACATAAATTTATTCCCTCACAGTTCTGGAGGCCAAAAGTCTGAAATCAAGGTGTTGGCAGGGCACTGCTCCCTCCAGAGGCTCTTGGGGAGAATCCTTCCTGGCCTCTCCCAGCTCCCGGTGGCTCCTGGCACTCCTTGGTTTGTAGCAGCATCACTCCAGTCTTTGCCTCAGTGTTCACTCAGCTTTGTCCTCTCTATCTGAAATTCTCTTCTCTTTCCTGTTATAAGGACACTGGTCATTGTGCTTAGATCTTCCCTAATTCTAGGAAGATCTGATCTCAAGATCCTTTAGTTAATTATGTCTGCAAAAACTTTGTTTCAGGATAAGATCACAATTTATAGGAATTGGAGTTAGGACTTGGACATACCTTTATTTTGAGGGAGGACACAATTCGAGATAATAGAGTGTTGTATTTAGAAGGTGTTATCCACTGAAGAATAGAAAACTGTCATCTGTGATTTTTCATAGTACTTTTACATCTAAATCTTTAAGTTATCTGAAATTTATTTGGATATAATGTAGAGATATAAGTTTGTTTTTAT